CATTATTATCAGCAACTTCTACATTAGTATTACCAGGTGCATAATTAGTATTATAAACATTAAGAACTGTTTTTTTTTGCATATCAAATAAAATTTTGTTTTCACTTATTGTCTTCATAGTAATCCAACTTAAATCGTGAATCAAGTACTATAAAATTATCTATATTATTAATCAGTTTGTAAAAAAATTTTACTATTTTATATTTCTACCAATAGTACTTTATACTTCTATTTATTTAGAGGATTAGGAAAAAGAAACCAAAAAAATTACATTATTTGCGAGAATCGCTATTGATTTAGACTTGAAAAAGAAAGTGATTATCCTTCTACCACTTCCAGAAACTGAAAGCGAAACACATATCTATAAGCATTGTTGTTATGACTATTTCAAGAAAATTATTTTCGAGAGCAAGAAATATAAGCGTTTCTGCATTATCAGGAATCTAGAAACAGGAAAGACATTTTTAGGACGTTATATTATGAGTGTTTTATTAAAGGAAGGTTCTGAACTGTTGATAGATAATGCTAGTTACTCGCATCTATATCTCATTACTCATGATGAGATGAATGATTTTGACGTGAAATAGATACAAAATGAAGACTATGGCAGAGTTGCAAGAAGAAACAATGTGTGGTGTATAATAGCTAGCAAACTATCTAAGGTAAATCACGATTTTGATATCAGAAAACTTATTATGATATCATTACCAAAGGACTTGAACATAAAAAATTTTTGCAAACCAGTTAATATTACAATCAAAGTATACATGCAAATTTGGTCAGAGGCTGAATTAGAAGAATATCGATCATTAATCTATTCAGAATTTTCAAAGTACAATCTTCATGAATCTTTATCAATTATATGGTGGTATTTCAAGAATAATATTCAAATTAAAGATAGCGTTATAACATTGTGATACTTATTTGTCACCTGTTGTAACTTAAATTTTAATAATGTTACAATTCGTTGCAATATTGTGATGCTAATTTGTTATCTGTTGCAACTAATTGAAGCGTCATCTTTACTTCAAATACACATTAGATAAAATTGATGATATGATTATGGCCTCTGTTGACAATATCGATACTAGATTATTTAAATATATTGGTATAGTCAGTGAAGGCGATGTATATAGTCATAACTTAGTATATATTCATACTAATGAGAAGCAAATAAATGTCATTATCAATGAACGCACCTTTTTCAGACTGCCTTATACTTCATGTGAGTTAAAGTTTGCATCAACAATTGTTAGTAATAAAGTTTTTACAAGACTAAAGGAATATATATTTGAAATTATTGCACATAATGAACTCAGTGCTGATAAAACATTTTTGACATGCTTACTAGAAAAACATGAAAAATCATCTTGTGGAAAAGAACTAGAACTAAAACTTTCTCAGCTTATAACAAAAATTGTTACACAGTAGATGATATTGAAGATGGCAAATACTGTAAACCAGTAGCAAAGAATTTTGAAACTATCAATGCCATCTATATTGGAAAAGATTATGACTTAACATTTCAGATGATGGTGGTAAGAATATATGATATTAAATAACATGAATATGAATTACTACATGAAAAGCTAGGTAGTGAGTTAGCAGATCATACTATCTGACACTATTTTGTTGTTCCAAAAGATACATTTAAAAATTTTTAAAAACAACCGTTCACAGTGAAGAAGGAAAAAAGAGGTCAACCAAAAAATGTAGTGAATGTTAAACAATGGATCACAAAAAGAATAGAGCAGTACGTATTACTTTAGATATTAGTATCAAGAGCACAGATTAAGAAATAATAAAGTAATATATAGTAAATTATGAAACCAAGAAATGTGTTTTCATGTAACAATAGGAATTTGTGAATTGGGTGAAAATATTAAGAAGTTTACAGTTCAAGGGTTTTATGAGAAAAATATCAAGAATAAGGATATTTTAAATAATATTGGTTTATGGTTTGATAGTAAACTTAATATAGATAATAATGTTAAATAATGAGAAGGAACTGCCATTCCTTTTATTATATAAAAGATATCTAAATGCAGGCGGGCATGACTTTTCATAATCTTTTACACTTTTATTTCTCCTTTAAATTTATTACTCCAATTTTTATCATAGCCAATCAGTTTTTTCTCATTTTACAAAATGTTTGCGATAAAGCTTTAGCAACATAAATGAATATAGATTGCAGTTTTATTTATGCTTTTTAATTCTAAATTATACAGATTTGCTAACCATATAATATTGCATATTAGTAATCCTGCTAAAGAATCTGAAATAAATTACTTTGTAAAAAAGATTATCATTAAAAAGTACAATATATTGTCAGCTTCTTCTTGTATTATAATGAATTTCTAAGCGATGAAGTGATGATTGAATTATTTCTTTCTTGCTTTTTTTTCTTTGAAACCAGAAAATTAGCCTTAGCCTTCAAAATCATCTTCTCAAACCCTATTTCCTTTAAGTTATTTTTGATTTCTTCATCCAAACGACGATCTTCTTCATTTACAGGTACCCGCTCAAAGTATATTCGATAACATAACACAACCTATTCAGATGGATAAGATAATTCTTGATTCCTTCTTCCAAGTCAGATCCTATATATATCACACTATTTTCCATTTCATTTCACATAAACAAGCATTTATTTTCATCTAGAAACTACATCACAAATTCAGAACAGTCTAAATATAAAGGAAAAATTTTAGTGATACCAAAGGTTTTAGCAAGATGTCATCTAAGGCTTGCATCAAGAAGCCGCTGATCCTTTTCTGTAAAGTCATGAAGTTTGTCTTTAAATTGATTAAAAAGTTGATACGAGACATCCTGCAATTTTAGCAGGGATACTTTGCTGTTTCTTTTAATAATGTGAGAGTCTGAATTAGCGTATTTGATCTTACTTGACTTAAATAAGTCCACGTGTTCATTTCTAAACAATTGCCATGATCCTAATACTCTTTCCTTAACATCACTTCCCGTTTGACATTTATCACTAGCAAAGCTATAGGAGTTCCAATAACCTTGTCAGTTCTAGTCATTCACCATGGATTAATAATTTAAATAATATGTATTAAATATCAATGTGCGTGAATTCTACAGTAATAGTGAGTAATGTAAAATAGTCTGTAAGAAATGAATTATATATTTATGGCAAATCTGCTATTGCGTAACTTAGACAGATATTAAATAATGAATGAGTTTGCAAATAGAATTAATATTTTATTCATTAGACCAAATTTTTATAGTTGTAAAAAAAAATTTTAATAATTTAAAAATCCCAATCTGTATACTGAAATGTAGATGTTGTGATGGAAAATAAAATATTTTTAATGTAGCAATCACTGAAAATACTTTATTGCAAAACAACTTTAATTATATATATTAAGAATATAATAGAGATGATATCTGAATTTCTTTTGGAGGTTTAGATTGGAATCAATTCATATGGCAAATTAGACTACCATCTTTATTATATTTAAAATCAATTAATTGTTTCTAGATTTTTAATTCCAAGATTCGATGTTCGACTATGATTAATCGATTCTAATCAACTTTATAATGACATAATATGAAATTAAATATATATATATATTTTTGATAAATATATTTTTTTTTTTAAGAAAATTATTGTTCACCAAAAGTTAGATTTTCACAAATCTAATACATTAAAATAAGACTGAACAAATGCTTTTATGCTATTTATATTTTATATGTACTGTATGTAAGATTCTAAAAATTTTACCATAAAAATTTATTTCAATTTTTAAAAAAACCTATAAGTGGATAAGAGAATCAATTTGGTCAGCATAATGTATTTTCTTATCAGAATTTAATTTTTTTTTACTACTTTTTGGGTTGGGTTTAATTTTTGATTTTGGACCTCAGTGATAAAGCAAATTTTATTTTATTTTTCTTTGCAATTATTCATTATTAACGTTATTTTTTTTAGGCTTAAATTATTTCAGAAGTATGTAGTATGCTTTTTTTTTAGTTAGTATCGCAACGAATAAAAATTATATTTTTTTCTTAAGATACTTTTTTTTTTGCTTTTATTTTGGATGATTGCATCAATGCTTTATTCCTTATGATTTTATTTATGAATTTTATTTTTTTTTCTTGCTAAAGCAGCGAGTGGTTTAATTACGCTTTAGGCCTCCCTATTTTTATTAAAATCATTTATTGCATCAATAAGAACAAAATAATGTGAAAATTTTGACTTTTAATAACCTTCTCAGCAAAATAAGGTTTGCTTGTTCAAAAGTCAAAGTTCTATAAGATTTTTAAGAAAAATAATTAGTTGATAATTACTCCATCTCTGACGAGCACATAAGTTTATTTTACATTAACTGAAGAAAAAAAACATTTTTAATGGAAGTAATATCAATAAAATATAATATTAAGACAAATTTTTTTGAGATGTCATTACATACTAGTTATTACTCTATTTTACTTTTCATATTAATAGATTAGTGTAATACTTATTATAAGATGTATTGACAAATTCATGTTCTTTATAATGTTAATTTCCATTCAATTAACAACTTTAATGTTATTTTGCAGTCTAAACGCTGTTAGTGATAATCTGTTTGCGTTATTAGATGACTGCGCTAATTAATATCACCAATGATTACCAGGAAAATCGTGATCATTATTTTCACTAATTTTACTGCTATCATGGTTATCGTTGTGATATTTATTTTCTTTATTATTACGTTTATCATTATTTTATTTACTATATTTATTTTCATAGTTATATTTACTATCTCTATCTTATAATTGTATTTTATATAAATATCCTATATTGTCGCCTTGACAAATTAACAAGTTTTAATCGTATAATTAATAAAGTATAATCTTAACAATATAAAAACTATATCTTTGTCAATATCTATTTCCTTAAACATAAATTATCAATAAAGACGACCTGACCCTTCAACTTAAATAAATTCGTATTTATTTCTTTCATAGTTTATAACTTAAACTTCCTGTTAGCAAATAAGCTTTGTTATCCTAACGACGTAGTATTTAGGCTTAACAAGTGGTGATTCCTGCCAGGATTTATCTTTATTGAAGATATACACAATGAACTGCTGAAGGACTAGCGAGGTGTATGAATTTAGAGGAACTTGAGAGAACTATATCATAGTATATAGTTAGGCATTATTTAGACAAACTTCTTAACCAAGATTATACTTGTAATTAGTGTTATCTACCTCTCTATTCGAGACTCTTTCCAATAACTTTAAAATTTCTAGAACTGGTTTAGACGAGAATATTAAGCAGATACTTTTACTTCAAGAACTATTATCACCTTTAACTTATTTGAACAACTTAGTAATACCCATGAATCTGAACATCATAACTCTCATCTAATAAGAGTTATCTACCAGCTTCTTTCTAGCATTCGATATCATGTTCGACATTTTTTAGCAGACGTAATATATTTATATATACAAGGCATATCATTTCGAACAAATTGTTTTCAATAACCTATTACCTTATCTATTTCTTCAAGGGTATATACTGAAATCTTAGAACAAGATCTAGTAAGACCTATAGCAGATCGATAATTACTATAATGCCTTGTTGCTTCTTCAATACCTTCTGCATCTAGCTTATCAAACTCACCCCTAATTCACTCTTAGTCAAAACTGAAATCATGACCATAGGAGCTGAAATGAAGACTATTTTCCAAGAAATTTTTGGAAATAATAAACAACACTGGATAGATATTAGCGAACGACTCCGACTAGCTTAAAGAGAAGAAAGATTCATTATTAAAGTTGACTATTTTTCAGGAGCTGAAAATGAAGACCCTGTAGAATGGCTCACTGCATTTGAAAGAGCTGCCATTACCAACAGATAGACCACTGAGACATGAAAGAAAGCCCTCACTGGAGGACATCTTAAGAACGCAGCAGCTGACTAGTTTGATAGTGTTACTACTGCTATGAGAGATAATTGGAATACTGAAACCAATGGTAAACAAAATTTTGTAAATTTATTTGAAGCTCGTTTTATTAGCGAAATCAAGAAAAATCAATGGTATCAAGAATTAACTTCTCTGCGACAACAATCAGATGAATCCGTAGATTCTTATGCTAATAAGTTCAAGAAATTAGTGACTCGTGTAGGATTAACAGATGATGTACAGAAGAAAAGGATGTTTCTTATAGGACTAAATCCTGCTTACACTCCGTTAGTCTATTCACAAAATCCAGCCAATTTGGATGCTACTGTAAACTCTGCGCGAACTATTAAAATTGAATATAATTTTGCCTCTGGAAAGGCCTCCAAAGATATTAGTATTACTACAGTTTCTACTCCTAAAAATATGGTCACTAATACTGAAGTGGATGAACTCATTAAAAAATTGGAACAGCTATCTATTAATTATGCTAACTTAACGACTACTTTATTAGCTCAAC